CTTATTTACTTTTCCGGTCACGTTAAATTGTGTGAGCAGACATTAAAGGCTCCCGCAGACTTGTGCGGATAGTCCGCAGCCTCCGCGGAATGGCCGCAGCGGAAGTTTCGCGGCACGTGATTCCTTATGAGCACGTTCAGACGTGCGCGTCAGGCGATAGTCACGGCAGCAAATTGGCAGCGATTAATCCGTGGGGAGTTTGACGCAGTCGGACGCGTTTCTTTCCGCTGCCGCTCGAGTTTCGTGGAAGTCAGCTCGCGTCCGGGAGACTTCATTCCTTTTTGCATCGAGCTCCCTTGCCTTTAATTATTGGATGAGCAAAGAGTCACCGAACGCCGAGTCATGCTGTGTGAATGGAACCCACCGATTTCGTCGCCGCGTCAGCGGGGAACTTTCCGCGCCGCACCAGCTGCGGGTCTTCCGCGCCGGTCCTTGGGAGCCTTAAAGCACGTGCGCGTTGTAAGGGCTTACGGACGGAAGTGGCAGAGCCCTTTAGGACTACCCTGACGCACTCTAAAACAGATGCTTACCTGCGTTTTTGAGAGAGAGGCATCCAGATTTTATAAAGTATTTCTGTCGATACATTATTCTGTAACTATTTATTTATTTACTTATTTATTTATTTACGTCAAAAACATTTAAAAACTGTGTGTGACGTGCTATGGCGAGAAGTTCATTTGAAGTTACATTTATGTCCAGAAGCAAAATAAGGGGTCATCTCAGCATTTGCTCGAGGATCAGGGGAACTGGACGAAAACCTGATCGAGACGGGGTCATTGATCCATAAGCTGAAGTACAATACTTATTACAGGTTCTTTAGAATTATACAATCCAAATGGTATATAATACATTAAATGTCATTGATAAAATTAATATTACTTTCCTTTTGGATGCTCTCTAATTGTATAGAAACAGTTGTACAGCAGAAAGATGCTCAAAAGTGGATGCGCCAGGAAACTATAGAATTGCGCAGAAACAATATTTTTATTAAGAACGTTTCACACAAAGGAAAGAATTGAAAGAAATTACCCGACATAGGAAGCTAGTATAATGTATAATCACAATCAGTGTATGCTGGGAAGCGCTTTTAATAGCAATAAAAAAGAAACACAGATAAGTTATTTTATTCAGACTTCCACTGCTACATAGACATGCATACGTAATAAAGAGTGAAAGTCACTCCTAATCGTAAGATGTAATGCCCACAGTCTCAGTCAATTTCTCTTCCGGTCTATTCCATAGATTAGGGAGCGTTGTGAGGCTCTGCAAAAGAAATGTTAGAAATAAATATAAATTCATAACAAATATAGAAGTGAAAGTTCTTAAGTTTAATCCAATTATTGTATGGTAAGAATTAGATTTGTTTGATAACTGTAATTTTACACAATGTGAACAATAAATAATAATAATAATATTATTAATAACAATATCAAAATTATTTGTCCTGAACACGACATATCACTGCAAACGTTTTACTACAAACTTGAAGTAACTAAGAAAAACGTACGTATTAAAAAAAATTGTGTTAGGAAGTGATTATGCGTGAACGTCATCTTCTATATTATTCTTGTACATATTATAATTTAATATCTACATTGTTGAATATTGTTTCATAACCCTTATCTTCCAAAATATGAAATTCTACAAACTTTCCGTTGAACCGTTAAAATGGTTCAATATCTTTTCTAAATACCTCCAGCACCATCAACTGATGGTTTTTGTCGGTCGCCACGACAGTAGAAACATCCCTCTACTTCAAAGTTAAGTACAGCGAGGAAAAGCACACACAAGAAAAGTACTAAAAACGTCATCATCGAAACTGTGTAAACGACGTAATGTGTTGCTTCGTGGTCGCGACAAACAACAGTGCCACAGTCTTGTCCTTGGCTCCGATGGTCTTTTCGTGAATTGATTTAAGTACCCCATTTCAGATGATTAATATCGCATTTAGTTATTAGTTAGTGCTGTAAACGAATTAAAGATTTACATTTACTAAATACAATGTTATCACCATTACTAATAAATGAGATTTTTTTCATTTTTAGAGAACAATTGAAATTGAGTTTCGTTTATCTGTGATTCGAGTTTTGCTTAACATATTAAACTGAAATACATATTTTCCTTAATTATGGTTGTCTGACATCACAAAGCGTTCAAGAATAATAAATTTGCGAATAAAGTATTACGATGACTTTGTTACTCAAAAAATAAATTCCTTTTCATTATATTTTATTGTATGCGATTATAAATAAAGGGGTGTTTTATAACGTTGTAATTAATAAAAAAACATTCATCGCTACAATATTTTTTCTGTGGACAAAATAAGAAGTAGGGAAAGAATTTAAGAGTTTTATTTTTTATACGGTCAAAAAAACGTATTTCTACTGAAATACTTACAGGAATGTATTTGAATATATGTCAATTATTTTTCGATGTTCGATGCCATTCTTTGCATTTCATTCAGTGAGAGGAGAATTCGTGGCTTTGGGGTCGATGAAGTCTCTTTGTAACTCCTTAATTCATTTCATGATTTTTTCTAATCTTAAATGTCAAATGAATCAGTCATTTTAGAATGGCCACATGTGTATTTCTGGCAAAAAAGGATTCTGTAAGATTCACGCATCTTGGCCGCATAGAACTGACTTGTATCCTGAATTACTTATTGAGAAAATCGTGTTTGTTTAGTGAGATTACTTTAGCATAATCACATGTTCTGGGCAAGAGTTCTGTTCTATAATGAATATTAACCAAGAACCATATACAAGACCCAGTCCCGACAGAATCCTTGCTGCCCAACTACACAACCTTCCAAAAAACGCCTTAGATCTTTTAATCAAAATTCTAAATTCTTGCTTCTTGCTATCTTATTCTCCACCTCTTGGAAAACCGGTCGCGTAACATTGATCCCGAAATTCGGCAAAGATCATTAACTTCCTTCCAATTACCTCTTAATTAGCTTACTCCCGGTTTTTAGCAATCTATTTGAAAAAAAATGTCTTCGTCACCCCTTCTATATCCAATCAGCTGCCCTGTACAGTAGGACAAATTCGCTCTGAGTCCCTCCAAACGTTAAATATGGCTCTTTCAATAGCTACACCTCTTTACGAAAAAAAGAAATCCCCTGCATCCTCACCGACCTCAGCCAAGCTTTCGACACCCTTTCCCATTATATACTCCGAATAAAACCTGTTCTATACACCCCGACCCATATTTTCTCTGTCATTCAAAATTACCTAACAGACCACTACTTCTTTGTCAAATATTTTTAAACCTTTTTCTCCAAAACACCCAATTCATGCCGGTGCCCGACATTGCCCTGTTCTCTCGTGCATAAAAACTGTGTGATAAATAAACAAGACGATAATGAGGACAGAAAACATTTTGAATAACGATTATTGAAAGACAATAGCTTCAACTAGGGGCGTTACACCAGCACATCCTTTATCGCATTATTTCGCAAAATTCAGAATTTTTAACGGAAATTAGATCTGTGCCATTTTTTAAATGCTCTTTCTATTACGAAAAAATGAAGGAAAAATTTTGAGCAATTTTGAGAATTTTTAAACAAAATCTGCTTGCAATTATTTGTAATAATTGCAAGCAGAAATAACACATAAAACTAATTGTTTAATTTTTCAAAAAATTGCACATGCTCTTTTTACAGAGCTACCTTTTTAGAACAGATTTTAAGGGAAACTGTTGTATCTTCAACTTTGCAATTTCTTAATGTTAATTTTTGCAATTATCATAAATACAGAGAGTTTGCCGGAAATGAGACAACTATTTTTTCATTATTTAATATATTCTTGAAGAAAATTTTTAAGAAATTGATGCTATTTTTATCTAAAAATTGTTGACAAAATTAAAAATTATCACAATTCACGCACAAATACGCGATACCTATGTACATTTGACCTTCTTTTCTTAACTTTCCTTCATTTCCTAACATACATAAATGTGTGAATACTTTTTTTTCTTAGTTACTTCAAGTTTCCAGTAAAATGCCCTGTTAAGGACATTTGGTCGAAATTTGAAATTCTATATTATTATTATTATTATTATGATTATTATTATTTAGTGCTCACACTGTGTAAAATTACTGTCATCAAACACCTCTAATTCTCAACCTACAATAATTAAATTTAAACTTACGAACTTTCATTTTCATATTTATTTATAAAATTATATTTATTTCTCACATTCTTTTTGCAGATGCGATGTCTTGTACCTCTCCGTCAGCTATGGACTAGACCGGAAGAGAAATTGACTGATACTCTCAGTATTACACCTTCCGAATAGGAGTGGTTTTCACTTTTGTCCCATTTCATATGTATGCATGCCTATGTAGCACTGGGATTCCGAATAAAATGACTGAGTTTTCTTTTTATTGCTCTTCAAATACGCTTCCTAGCACACACTGTTGTGACAAAACATTATACTATCTTATGTCTCCAAATTTTTTCCAAAATTTTCTTTTGTAATGTTGTAAATGTTCTTTTGCCTCAGTACTTAATTGATATTCATTCGTCTGTTGTATTTTTCGGTAGTGTTAGTGCGGTATACATCTATATCAACATCTCCTGCCAAGTCTTTCCATAAATTTCTATTTCATTAATCTGCTCCTTGAGGGGTAATCTCAACATATAAACAATATCTCATTATATGAATGTTTTGGGGAGAATATTTTGCGTATAGATAGAGATTGTGGTATGTATGATAAATTGAAATGACTACAATTCATCATACATAATGTGGACTGGGAAAAAATTAGGCGCTTTTTATATGTGTTATTTTTCTTTGAGTACACATATATTCTTTTCTTTTGTAAATAATAAACAATTTACATGTTTCTGGAGTGTTTATATGTTTCTGAAATTTTTGCATGGAAATCTGTTTGTCAAATTAACTTTTCATTGCTTATTGCGGCTCAGCCATTACAAATCTTGAAGGAGTTTATTAGACAAAATGTTTAAAATTGACCGAAGAGCTTATTTTCCAAGTTTCGTTGTTTCCCACTCGGACACTCTGTATACAGGCTGAGTCACGTTACTTTAGCACCTCCTGTAATTTTTGAACGGTTCAAGTTATTTCAATGCAGGTTCCACAGAAGTGCGTGAGTGAATCGACTACTTTCTACACACTATACGAGTATTTAGTTCCGTTTTGTCACTTGCATTTTACGAGACATTGAGGTAACTTTGTTTTTCCAAATGGAACTATACATATTTTTTAGTTTATTATGAGTGTAAAATGACGAATATAATGTGTACATACTGTCATATGTTAGACATGCATTTTTTTAGAAATTTTGATTTTTGCGACTCGTGTTTAAGGGGATATTGTAACGCCCGAGCGCGAGTTAGCTGGGAGAGCGCTGCTTCACTCTAGATGGTGGAGTGTTATCCTGGTGGGAATATCCTTTTAATCGAGTTGCAAAAAACCAAATATATTATGTGGAAAGTAAGGGAAACAAATAGAGGGTAAATCGTTTTCTTCGTCTCCGCAGGAATAAATAAGGGGACATTGTAAATTAAAGGAGATTCAATGTTTTCATCAAAATCATGAGAGCTCCGTTATAGAAGTAACTCCCAGCCAATGCATTGAGTATATGCGCGTCATGTAAATGTGGAGAAAAACGAACTTCTGTCCTCCTCTTCTCGCAGATTCAGCTATAATTCCATGATATAACTCGACATGACTCGACCCGACTAGATTTAATTCAGTCGCTGCATGGAGAAGAATTATAGCGGCCGGCTGCTGTTTTCGGTAGTTTTCCGTGGTTTCTCCAATCAGTACCAGGCGAATGCCGGAGCAGCTCCTTAACAAACGGGCACGGATCGCGCACTCTCATTCCTTTTCCTTTCTTGTCCTATTCTCACCCCTTGCTTACACAGACTTACAAGCACCACACTACCACACGGTGGTGTGGTGCATGTAAGTGGAGCAGCGAGACCGGTCGAGAGCTTACAGCTTCTCCCGGCTGGAGGGTGAGAGATGCCTGGTTGGGCATAACCTCGCTAGCTGACAGGTCGGTCGGCGCCGGATCTCATCATCCAGGGGTAAAATCACCTCCAGAGGAAAAGATGTACTACACATACAGGAATACGGAGAGACTATTCAGCACATCAACTGAGGTCACTGCAGTCCCTCTGACCGGGAGGTCCTAGGTTCGAGTCCCGACGGTGGCAGGATTATCGACACCAGTTTGTCAGCTACATTAAGTGATCAAAAGTATCCTGACACGTGGCTAAAAATGACTTACC